CAGGATGGGATTTGGGGGGGTCTGCGATGGGATTTGGGGTCCAGGGTGGGATTTTGGGGGATCCAGGATGGGATTTGGGGGGTCCAGGGTGGGATTTGGGGGTTCTGGGATGGGATCTGGGGTCAGGTGGGATTTGGGGGGTCCGGCATGAGATTTGGGGGGTCTGGGATGGGATTTGGGGTCAGGTGGGATTTTGGGGGATCCAGGGTGGGATTTGGGGGTTCCAGGATGGGATTTGGGGGTACAGGATGGGATTTGGGGTCCAGGGTGGGATTTGGGGGGCCCAGGGTGGGATTTGGGGGATCAGGTGGGATTTTGGGGGATCCAGGGTGGGATTTGCGGTCAGGGTGGGATTTGGGGGGGTCAGGTGGGATTTTGGGGGTCCATCCCAGGATTCAGGTTGCAGGTGAAGGATTGGGGTCAGTGCCAGGATTTGGGATCTGGGGTCTCTCCTGGATCTGGGATCTCCCCCGGATTTGGGATCAGGGTCTCCCCTGGATTTGGGATCGGGATCTCCCCTGGATCTGGGATTGGGGTCTCCCCCGGATCCGGGATCGGGGTCTCCCCCGGATTTGGGATCTCCCCCGGATCCGGGATCGGGGTCTCCCCCGGATTTGGGATCTCCCCCGGATCTGGGATCGGGGTCTCCCCCGGATTTGGGATCGGGGTCTGCCCTGGATTTGGGATCAGGATCTCCCCCGGATTTGGGATCAGGGTCTGCCCTGGATCTGGGATCGGGGTCTCCCCCGGATCCGGGATCGGGATCTCCCCCGATTTGGGATCTCCCCCGGATCCGGGATCGGGATCCCCCGGATTTGGGATCTCCCCCGGATCCGGGATCGGGATCCCCCGGCCCTCACCTCCTCCTGCTCGTCCTCGCTCTCGTCGTCGCTCAGGAGGGGTTTGGGCCGCCCGCCCCGCCCGCCCCGGCGCCGGCCCTTCCCGCGTTCCGGAACCTTCTCCTTGCGGCCCAGGCGGATCTTCACCTTCACCGAGCGGGCTGGGGCCGAGCCTCCGCGTCAGCCCGGATCCCAATTCCATCCCGATCCCATCCCAGATCCCATCCCGATCCCACTGATCCCATCCCGATCCCACTGATCCCATCCCAGATCCCATCCCGATCCCACTGATCCCATCCCAGATCCCATCCCGATCCCACTGATCCCATCCCGATCCCACTGATCCCATCCCAGATCCCATCCCGATCCCACTGATCCCATCCCGATCCCACTGATCCCGTCCCGATCCCATCCCGATTCCATCCAATGGCTCCCACTGATCCATCCCGATCCCATCCCAGATCCCACCCCAGATCCCACTGATCCCATCCAATGCATCCCATCCCGATCCCACCGATCCCATCCAATGGATCCCATCCTGATCCCACTGATCCCACTGATCCCGTCCTGATCCCATCCCGATTCCATCCAATGGCTCCCACTGATCCCATCCAATGGATCCCATCCCGATCCCACTGATCCCATCCAATGCATCCCACCCCGGGTCCCACTGATCCATCCTGATCCCATCCCAATCCCATCCCGGATCCCACTGATCCATCCTGGATCCCATCCAATGGATCCCACTGATTCCATCCCAAATCCCATTGACCCCATTGATCCCATCCCAATCCCACATCCCATTGATCCCATCCCAAATGCCATCGATCCCAGCCCCTCCCAGTCCCATCCCATCCCACAGCCCATTGATCCCATTGATCCCATCCCATTGATCCCATCGATCCCATCCCATGAATCCCATCCCAAATCCCATTGACCCCATTGATCCCATCCCAATCCCACATCCCATTGATCCCATCCCAAATCCCATCGATCCCAGCCCCTCCCAGTCCCATCCCATCCCAAATCCCATTGATCCCATTGATCCCATCCATCCCATCCCATGAATCCCATCCCAATCCCATTCACCCCATTGATCCCATCCCATTGATCCCATCCCACTGATCCCATCCCATGGATCCCATCCCATGAATCCCATCCCAATCCCATTGATCCCACTGATCCCATCCACCCCATCCCACCCATTGATCCCATTGATCCCACTGATCCCATCCCACTGATCCCATCCCATGGATCCCATCCCAATCCCATTGATCCCATCCCACTGATCCCATCCCACTGATCCCATCCCATGGATCCCATCCCACTGATCCCATCCCATGAATCCCACTGATCCCATCCCATGAATCCCATCCCAATCCCATTGATCCCACTGATCCCATCCCATGGATCCCACCCCAATCCCATCCACCCCATCCCAACCCATTGATCCCATCCCACGGATCCCACTGATCCCATCCCATGGATCCCATCCCATGAATCCCATCCCAATCCCATTGATCCCATGGATCCCATCCCACGGATCCCAGGGATCCCAGGGATCCCAGGCGCCCCCAGGCCCACCCTCGGACTCGGATCCTTCCTCCTCTCCCTCCTCCTCCTCCTCGCTCTCCTCTCCGTCGCTCTCCTCCTCCTTCTCCACCTTCTGCCGGACGCTGGTGAACACGGACTGGAGCACGATGGAGTCCTCGTAGATCTGGGGACGGGCCGCGGTCACTGCCGGTCACTGCCGGTCATCCCCGGTCATCCCTGGTCATCCCTGGTCATCCCTGGTCACTGCCGGTCACTGCCGGTCATTGCCGGTCATTGCCGGTCACTGCCGGTCATCCCTGGTCATCCCGGTCACTGCCGGTCATCCCTGGTCATCCCTGGTCATCCCGGTCATCCCGGTCACTGCCGGTCATCCCTGGTCATCCCGGTCATCCCGGCCATCCCGGTCATCCCGGTCACTGCCGGTCACTGCCGGTCATCCCTGGTCATCCCGGTCATCCCTGGTCATCCCTGGTCATCCCTGGTCACTGCCGGTCACTGCCGGTCATCCCTGGTCATCCCAGTCATCCCTGGTCATCCCTGGTCATCCCTGGTCATCCCGGTCATCCCTGGTCATCCCTGGTCATCCCTGGTCACTGCCGGTCACTGCCGGTCACTGCCGGTCATCCCTGGTCATCCCTGGTCATCCCTGGTCATCCCTGGTCACTGCCGGTCATCCCTGGTCATCCCGGTCATCCCTGGTCATCCCTGGTCATCCCTGGTCATCCCTGGTCACTGCTGGTCATCCCGGTCATTCCAGTCACTGCCGGTCATCCCTGGTCATCCCTGGTCACTGCCAGTCATCCCAGTCACTGCCGGTCACTGCTGGTCATCCCTGGTCACTCCTGGTCACTCCTGGTCACTGCCAGTCACTCCTGGCCATTCCAGGTCACTCCAGGTCACTCCTGGTCATCCCTGGTCACTTCTGGACACTTCAGCCCATTCCAGATCGCTCCAGAACCTTCCAGGCCATCCCAAGCAGCTCCAGAACCTTCCAGGCCATCCCAAGCAGCTCCAGAACCTTCCAGGCCATCCCCAGCCCTTCCCGGTGCCATTCCCGGTGCTGTTCCCGGTGCCATTCCTGGCCCATTCCTGGTCCCGTTCCTGGTTCCGTTCCCGGCGCCGCTCCCAGCCCTGTTCCCAAGTGCTGCCCAGCCCATCCCGGTTCCCATTCCCGTTCCCATTCCCGTTCCCATTCCCATTCCCCGTTCCCGTTCCGGTTCCCGTTCCTGTTCCTGTTCCCGTTCCCATTCCCGGTTCCCGTTCCCGTTCCCGGTACCAGGGAGCCCTCGAGGTTGAAGGTTCCCATTCCCGGTTCCCGTTCCTGTTCCTGTTCCCATTCCCGGTTCCCGGTTCCCATTCCCGGTTCCCATTCCCGGTTCCCGTTCCCGGTACCAGGGAGCCCTCCAGGTTGAAGGTTCCCATTCCCGGTTCCCATTCCCGTTTCCCGGTTCCCATTCCCGGTTCCCGTTTCCCATTCCCGTTTCCCGTTCCCATTCCCGGTTCCCGGTACCAGGGAGCCCTCCAGGTTGAAGGTTCCCATTCCCGGTTCCCATTCCCGGTTCCCGGTTCCCATTCCTGGTTCCCGGTTCCCGGTACCAGGGAGCCCTCCAGGTTGAAGGTTCCCATTCCCATTTCCCGGTTCCCATTCCCGGTTCCCGGTTCCCGGTTCCCATTCCCGGTTCCTGGTTCCCGGTTCCCATTCCCGGTTCCCGTTTCCCATTCCCGGTTCCCATTCCCGGTTCCCGTTTCCCATTCCCGGTTCCCATTCCCGTTTCCCGGTTCCCATTCCCGGTTCCCGTTTCCCGTTTCCCGTTTCCCGTTCCCGTTCCCGTTCCCGGTACCAGGGAGCCCTCGAGGTTGAAGGTTCCCATTCCCGTTTCCCGTTCCCATTCCCGGTTCCCGTTTCCCATTCCCGGTTCCCATTCCCATTCCCGGTTCCCATTCCCGTTTCCCGGTTCCCATTCCCGGTTCCCGTTTCCCGTTCCCGTTTCCCGTTCCCGTTCCCGTTCCCGGTACCAGGGAGCCCTCCAGGTTGAAGGTTCCCATTCCCGGTTCCCATTCCCGTTTCCCGGTTCCCATTCCCGGTTCCCATTCCCGGTTCCCGGTTCCCATTCCCGGTTCCCGGTTCCCATTCCCATTTCCCATTCCCGGTTCTCATTCCCATTTCCCATTCCCGGTTCCCATTCCCGTTTCCCATTCCCGGTTCCCATTCCCGTTTCCCGGTTCCCATTCCCGGTTCCCGGTTCCCATTCCCGGTTCCCATTCCCGGTTCCCATTCCCGTTTCCCGGTTCCCATTCCCGGTTCCCATTCCCGGTTCCCATTCCCGGTTCCTGGTTCCCGGTTCCCATTCCCGGTTCCCGGTTCCCATTCCCGGTTCCCATTCCCGGTTCCCGGTACCAAGGAGCCCTCCAGGTTGAAGGTTCCCATTCCCGGTTCCCATTCCCGGTTCCCATTCCCGGTTCCCGTTTCCCGGTTCCCATTCCCGGTTCCCGGTTCCCATTCCCATTTCCCATTCCCGGTTCCCATTCCCGTTTCCCATTCCCGGTTCCCATTCCCGTTTCCCGGTTCCCATTCCCGGTTCCCATTCCCGGTTCCCGTTTCCCATTCCCGGTTCCCGTTCCCGGTTCCCGGTACCAGGGAGCCCTCGAGGTTGAAGGTTCCCATTCCCGTTTCCCGTTTCCCATTCCCCATTCCCGTTTCCCATTCCCGTTTCCCATTCCCGGTTCCCATTCCCGGTTCCCGTTTCCCATTCCCGGTTCCCGGTTCCCGTTCCCGGTACCAGGGAGCCCTCGAGGTTGAAGGTTCCCGTTTCCCGTTCCCGTTTCCCGTTCCCATTCCCGGTTCCCATTCCCGTTTCCCATTCCCGGTTCCCATTCCCGGTTCCCATTCCCGGTTCCCGTTTCCCGTTCCCGTTCCCGTTCCCGGTACCAGGGAGCCCTCCAGGTTGAAGGTTCCCATTCCCGTTTCCCGTTTCCCATTCCCGGTTCCCATTCCCGGTTCCCGGTTCCCATTCCCGGTTCCCGTTCCCATTCCCGGTTCCCGGTACCAGGGAGCCCTCCAGGTTGAAGGTCTGCGCGTTCTGGCACAGCAGCATCACGTCCTTCTCCAGGTCGTTCAGGCTCCGGTACTTGTGGTTCCGGATCCGCTCCTGCACCGGGAACCGGGATCAGACCCGGGAGGGATCCACCCGGATCAAAGGGACCCGCCGGGATCAGCGGGACCCGGGAGGGACCCACGGGATCCACCGGGATCAGCGGGACCCGGGAGGGACCCACGGGATCCACCGGGATCAGCGGGACCCGGGAGGGACCCACGGGGACCCAGGAGGGATTGGGAAGGGTCCCCAGGGATCCATGAAGGATTGGGAAGGGTTCCCAGGGGTCCAGGAGGGATTGGGAATGGTTCACAGGGATCTGGGAGGGACCCAGTGGGGATCCAGAGGGATTGGAAAGGCTTCCCAGGGATCCAGGAGGGATCCACAGGGATCTGGGAAGGGTTCACAGGGATCCACTGGGATCCAGGAGGGATTGGGAAGGGTTCCCAGGGATCCAGGAGGGATCCAGAGGGATCCACCCACTCCAGCCCACCATGGGCAGGGAGTGCAGGCCGTGCCCTCACCCTCACCCCAACCAGGTCCCTCAGAATCCTCCTTTTCCCTCATTGTTTCACCAATCCTGGGGGATTTCTGG